ATTCTCAGTCAATCACATTTTACTGGAATGCCAGGAACTTGAGCCACATAGGAGGAAACATTTTTCGGCACCGTTCTGACCCACTGCATCCAGTAATGTTCTTAGGCAAGGATCCCTTTTTAAATATGAATGCCTTTTAGAGTATTTAAAAGAACTTCAAACTTTTCACGTCATCTACCAAGATGATCCGTGAGCTAGGCCTCTCAAAAGAGGTCTATGCTGCGGTACACTATTAAAAGAAAGCACGTACCTCCGGACCATTAATTGGTCTAAGAGTGTTCGTGAAGCTTCCGTGCTACTTCCACATTCTACTGTAGTACCACAAGAACTACCCTTTCACCCTCATCACACCTATGTCACGTCACTTACAAGATTTTAGAAATTAATGTTTTACGCACATTTAGTGCGTAAAACCCTTATACAGCCACCTAACATCACCACTGATCACATCCCGTACTATGGCCTAGCACTCTTTGGCTACCACTGGCCCTTGTGCCATAAAATACCACACACGAATCAAGAGGAGCGGGGAGCACGTTACGAGTGAGCACTACACTTCTGTTCGAAGAGCTTCAAGTCAGTTGGGTATCCAAACCGTCTTTAATATACCTTGGGACATGTGTTCGCGAAGCCAAAATAACCTACACCTCAGGACAGGGGTGATCTGAAAGTTTTAAGACGGAGCTGGTTGAACACTGCTGGACGACAGGGCACAGCTGCGACAATGGTGTAAGAAATTCTTGTACCATGGCTGTGACCTAAACAATGCAACGGCGCTGGCTCATGCACGAATGTGGGAGAAAATACGCCTGGAATTGCGTTTCATTCACCGTGGCGCACAACCCCCCCTCCCTCTCAATATTTACAAGGACCTGTGTGACTATGAACCAACGACCTCGGTTCATTTTTTTTTTTGGCCACTGTATACTGAAGAAGCCACCTGCACTGGGGGCGGATGGTCTAAGTAATTGTGTTAATAATTGTTGGTTAAGTCACAGTAAATCTTTTACAACCAGTTCCGAAGAAGTTTTCTTAAATCGACTTGCTATATAGTTCACGATATTTCTGGCTCTCAGCCATTTCGCGCTCTGCTGCTTTCTAGCCGCCTGTCAAAATTATTATCCAACACCCTTTATAGGCTAGCTAAGCCCTCTTCATATTCTGCTCTTTTTGCGCCTACGTTACCACACTACGACGGAGGTAATACAAAAAAAAGCATAAGGAATGGTAGAGGAAACAGCCATTTGCAAGCAGCTATGTAGCAAGTATGCATATATTTTATTGTGCAGCCTTAATCAAATTAAGCGACGTTTCACATTGCGGCTCAGACGCATGAACGGTATTGTCTGAATTTAATTAATTTCTATGGATGTACATAAGCTGCAGAGAAATATGTTTTTACTTATTCATAATATGAAAATTATCGCGCGATATTTGCTCCTGAGTTAATTAATAGGGGAAAAAAATATAACAATGGTCACGGTAGAAATGCCCCTCCTAAAGCCGATAAATCTTCTCTGTAATGTCACATGCTAAGTGTAGGAGAAAAATTGGACGAGTTCGTGTTTTTTAGCGCGTGTGAACTTTGTATGTGGGCACATTAGAATATGGTTCAAAACGCTATCCTGAGAAAAACCGAGAATCATGGCTTAGCAGCTATCTCGAGCCCCCCTTTCCACGAAAGACTTCCCGTGCCTCTGCTTGATAGTGACGCCGTGATGGAGGGCTCCGAAAATTCTGACCATCTGGCGTTCTTTACAATGCACTGACGTCACACAGCAACTGCAAGACTACAAGCTGTCTAGCAGAAACATAAGCTGTTTTACATGACCTGACTTCAAGCTCTCTCGCCGTGATGTTACGGTATTTGCTGCAGTTGAAAACAGTAGCAGGACCCGGAACAAGTATATATACACGAATCGCGTAATTAAGATAGATAATGACAGCTCTATTACGCGCTTGTTCGAGCGTTTTTTTTTTCTAGACTTTTATGAACACGCAGGAATGTTGACAAAAGAGCCACCATTCAAAACAGCAGTGGCACTCCTAAGGGCTCACAGGGGGTATACGGTAGCCAGTAGGGAATTTCCGAATAGGTGCCCCAGAAGTTTGGGGCCCCAAAGCCATTTACGTATGGACGCTTTGGGTCAAGCAGGGGCGATGAGTTTTCGACTAGGGTCGGCGGTGCTTTGGAAAATCCCTCTATTCTACGTCACTCTAGTCTTGGCTGAAAGCCGTCACGTCAGTGGATCCGTCATATCTGAGAAATATATTTCTCAGACCCAAAACTTCTAGGGCCGGCTTTGTGGCTTCCACTAAATTCGAGAAATACCGTCCCTAACCCAAACACGGTTTAGGTTTTGCGCATGTTGATTGGCCTTGACGCTATTCCTTTGGGGCTCTATACTTTTGAGGCCCCTATTCGAAAATAACATAGTCTTTATTTCCCCTATGGTCGCAGAAAACGGCTCATCTGACATCGGTTATCTCGTGCTTCACTGGAATGAGTATTCCGCGCAAGCTGCGAAATTCCGCTTGTTAGTAAGACATTCGGTAATATTTAGCGTGCTCCTGGTCCTAAAATCTGGAAGCCGTTCACAGAAGTGTTATAACTTAGCGCAAGAAAGATGGGAGTGTCTCATCGAGTGGTGCAGTGTGGCAGTGGGAGCTGCACAGCATGAGCAAATTTTTACATGTGAAGCCCATCAGAGAGATTTTCGTGGGCCAATGTCGGGACGGATTCGCGGCTTGAATCACAAGCGACGTACTCGACCGAACTACGCAAGAAGTCCACGCCTTCGTTTCGGAAGCGAAGTTTGTGAAGGGCTGGACAGTTTTACGTGCAGAAATGGCATAATCTCCTTTAAAACAAATGTGAGCTCACTTTCGAGCCACGAGCAACGTTAGCTTTAGTTTTAGCATAGGAAAGACTATATGATTTTAACCACACCACCCTAATCGGGTTGCACCATTGGCATTTGTCGTGTTTCAAATATTCGTCCTGTCTAGTTATTCACAACTTCGAATACTAGCAATTGAAAGTCGAATCAAATTGTCTGATTACGTATTATTTGATCTCCGAAACTGGAATATTCGCACACCTGTAGTTACATTACGTATGGGCAGGCTTGTAATATGTTATTATGTCGTGACCTTTCAATCAAGTTCCCCGTGTACTCATGTCCTCCCAGGCGTCGCCGGCTAGATAGATAGATAGATAGATAGATAGATAGATAGATAGATAGATAGATAGATAGATAGATAGATAGATAGATAGATAGATAGATAGATAGATAGATAGATAGATAGATAGATAGATAGATAGATAGATAGATAGATAGATAGATAGATAGATAGATAGATAGATAGATAGACAGACAGACAGACAGACAGACAGACAGACAGACAGACAGACAGACAGACAGACAGACAGACAGACAGACAGACAGACAGACAGACAGACAGACAGACAATACGCTCAAAGTTACCGAAGTTCGCTAAGAAATACTTCGCATTTAAAAAGTCAAAGTGCAGTTGTTTCGTCAGTACGTAATATTTGAATCATGCAATCATGCCTTTTGTTCGCTAAGAAATGCTTTAGTGCGAACGTGGATAGAAACAGCGTTGTTGTGTTCCCTTGCTGCGTCCTGCTATGTGTTTCCTTGCTGCATCCTGCGCTGCATGTTTCATAAGAAATGCGTCTCGTTCGAAATGTGATCACATCATTCTCATACGGCTAATGATGAAAACATTATGAAAACATTTCATTATGAAAATTCAAAGAAAACGGGTAGAGTCCCTATTCCAGGACTCCTATGGTAACCTCTGCGACAGCGCAGGCCCTTAGAATGATGGCCCGGCAGACCTCGGGGGCGCCGTCGCGAAGGGTGCCTTCCCATTGCTCTGTGTCACGGCTGGACCGAAGGATTGGAGGGAGCGGAGGGAAGTAAGCGGCGGAGCACTCTACGGTAACGTGAAAAGTTGTGGGGAGAGCGCCACAGCCTGGACAGGCATCAGTATAACGAGTCGGGTATATTTTATTCATGAAGTGGAGGTTCGGAAAAGTTCGGGTCTGCAGTTGGCGAAGTGCGACAGCCTACTCGCGTGGGAAGGAGTCTGGTGGGAGTTGGTATTGCTGTCATTGGCGTATGTAATATTGTGTAACTTCGTGATATGTGAGAAGTGGGGAACCTGACTCTGTGTTGGCCGCCTCACTGCGCGGGGCCTCTCGGAGGGTTTTCGAGCAGCCGCATGAGCGCATTCATTACCCGACAGTGAGGCATGACCAGGAGTCCAGAGCAGGGATATGATGTGGCTGTTGTGTGAAGCAACTTTGGATGTGCGTGAGAGAATAGAATGGGAGCTTTTGGGAATGCCGCGACCTGTTATAAAAGCCCGACATGCCGCTTGCGAGTCGGCTAGTATGTAGTATGTTTCAGCGGGGAGGCACAAGGTGTGTTGTATTGCCAAGGTAACCGCCAGAATCTCGCCCGAATTGGTGGCTGAAGGTGAGGAAGATATTGAGGCCGCACTTAAGATCTCATGAGTGCCGCTAACGACCACCGCTGTGTGTCCGTTTGTCGTGCGAGCCGCGTCCGTATTCTCTTCAACGTCGCCGAGAGTGCGATTTCGGTATGTCACCCGTGCCCGCCGACGACCTGCCCAAAGAAAAAGCTGGCTGTGTTGTTGGACGTCACGGAAAAAGGAAACCTTTCCTTCCTCCGTGTAAGACATGGAGTTTCAAACTGAGCGCCTCTTCCTGTGATTGGAGGACAGCCTTGTAACTTTTTCAATTTAAGTTTCTCGCCCTAATTTTATACAAAATACATGCGTAAAATATACACATATCTATTTTTTTGTTTTAGTTAATGTAGAGTATGTTGTTGACCACTGGCACTGCTTGCAAATCTGTTTGCAAGTTCTGCTTTTGTGTTTGTAATATCTGGCAACGTTGAGAATCAGCTGATGGTTGCCAGACCTTAATCAGTGCCATCTATCGCATTTAGGGGGCTAGTGATGCCGTAGTTTACAGCATCGCTGCCTAACCCTATTGCTCTGTTTTTAATTTTTCCCCCTTTGGCATGACCTTACCACGTTGTCCCCACAAAAACGTGAGTCAACAGCTTCGGCGTACGAGGCTGGTTGCGAGCTGCAAAGGCACCGAGGTCTGTCATCGTTTCTGCTGCTGCTGATGGGTAAGAGAAGCGAAACATTGTTCGCGACTCGTCTACGATCGCTTCGCCACCGCTTGCAGGGACCGTTTGTTAATGTTGAAACTGTTGCAGTTCCACGTTGTTGCTTTTACCTTGCGTAATTGTTTAGAGCATATTGCGTGACGGGTCATGGCCACCCGAAAGAACATAGCTGGTAAAAGAGGCGGTTGTGGGGGGGGGGGGGGGGAGGCATGCTCTCAAATCGTGTGTACCCGTTCGGTTTACTTTCCTGAAGAAAAACGCATGTTTCTTGTGTTTTCTTCGATGACCCCTCATTGAAGGCGCTGTTTGTAGCATTCGTATTCTCATGACGTTCATCGCAGGTAACTGCCGTGGACGTGGGAGCGATCGAGTGAAAACAATCATGTGGGCTGGGAGCAGTCAGCTGCTGATAAACACGCTCTCCGTTGTGTAACTCTCCGACGCGGCGTCTGATTTCGATGCTTTGCTGTGTTGTGTTTTGTTTGGCTGATCGCTCTCAGCTGTGGCTTGTTGTCATTGTCGATAGTTAATTGGAGTCTTTGATTTCTCTTCGTTCGCAAAAAAATTCTCAGCTTCGACATTATTGACGGTGGATCAATTGTGACAACAGTTTTCCATAATATTTTTAAAAATATGTTTATATGTATACCAAATTCACGCTTTTATTTCCTGGGCAGAAATTAAGACAACTGTATCGTAAAAGAAAGTGTATATAAATGTACCGTCAGCACAAACCTCGGGTTTCAGCTGTTTAGCATGAGGCTGCAATTCAGTTACAAGCCTCAGTGGTTACATTCTTATTGGGGCAGATTGCAAAAGAGCTTGTGCACTTGGTTTAGGTTATGAAATAATAATTTAAAGTGAGCAAAATTAACCTGTAAATGGTCACAGTAGTGGCATTTGCAGCCCAGATGTTCAGTGTGGGGCATTATGGCACCGGAGACTATTTTAGGAGCGTAAAAATACAAGAAATTACAATTATTTTAATGACTTTAAATGCTTTGCATTGAAGTCTCTCAACTTGCTGTGTTTGTTGGAGCTCCAGGATGGTGGGACATTTCATTGTCACATTAATGATATTGAAACATCACATGCAGGTTTTTTGCATTCCTCCCACATCATCATCACACTGAAGCATGTTAATCGCAACTTGTTTGTCCTCAAAGCTGCCATCGTGGAGTGCCAGTACATTCAGAAGCATCATCCATAATGTCACCTGCAAGTTATCTATGTGGCTAAGGGATTATTAATTGCACTTTTCCGAACAGCTGCACAAGGGTTCTTTCTCTTGGATGTGTCTGTAATTGTGCAATGCACTCGAATATAATTAAACAAAAAACTAAAGAACATTGTATAGGCAACGCAAGGACAAATAAAGGAAAAGTTTACTTTGGGCCCTGATACACAATTCTTACTACTGACGAGCATAGCATCAACTACATTGGGGGTCATGGCCATAGCCCATGTTTCATCTTTGAGGTTCCTGGCCATACGAGAACCAGCTAGACAGAACATCACAGTTACAGTATTGCTTCTTCATTTTGGGAATTACTCGCACATACCCAAGCTTTTCACGAAGACTTGCCAAATTAAAAAGACACTAACGAGAAAATTTTTTTGTGTGTATTAGTAAATTACGATTTCGGAATACCAAACACACCACTCTTACCATGGGAAGACTCTTGGTAACTGAGAAAAGAGTCAAAAATAATTGGTGGGTGCCGACACCACCTTGAAAGTCCTGCACTAATTGGTGTGAAATCATATATTTTGATTGCGTCTACTATGTCATACATAGATTTTTATCAGTAAAAAAGAAATACTATGTCTTACAAGAGGGCCATGGACTTAATACACAAAGTTTCTCAAAAATTTCATTGAGCCAATGTCATCAAAATATGAAACATAGATTTTGAAATTTGTAATGTCGTACAGAAAAGCTTCAGTGCAAAGTTTAAGAATGAAACTTTAACAGAAATATTCTTCTCTATTAAGGGGAGATGTGATTTGGAGAAAACGTTGTGTTAATCTGTAGCCTAGGGCGAAAAAGATTGTTGCTGTATATTTTTATGGTTAAGAAAAATTGTATTGTGAGAAATTTTAGAATCCTCAGCCTATACTAATTTGCTTACATTAGGTTTGTAAAAATGGCACAGGGGATATCAAGTTGTAAAGAAGATACTTGCACCCTTCACGTGTTAAGGAATATGGAAGTACCCAAAACATGATGTCAAAACTCAAGAAGTTGCCCAAAAATGGCTCTTGAGAAAAATGCATCTTAAAGGTATATGTTAAAGCTCGTCTATACAGAAAATATATATTTTTAATATGATTTCTTTGATAATGATACCTTGGCTATCATAATTATTCTTAGCATGTGGCTTAGTAAATCCCTCATGCGAAATACAATGGTAAACAACCAGGTGTCAATATCCAGAGGACTCGAGACAATGAGCCCTTCATAGTTTTGTTAGTAGCCACCTTGTGCTCTTAAAAAACAATTTTAACCTACTTCAAGTTTAATTACAATTCTCAATTTTTTTGTCATCCAAGTAGAGAAACCAAATTTGTGGAAGCAAGTAAAAATGAAAAATATGTAATTTTGGAAACATTTTACATTTTTATTACCCTCATCTCCCCTTAATGAATATATAAAGATAACTGACTGCTTTTGGGAGGTTAAACCCCACATATCAATCAATGATGAAACTAATGACAGTATAGTGCTCAAAGCACACTTTATCAATCTAAACACATTCATTCTTTCATTTTAGTGTCCTTTTAATGTCTTTTTCACGGAATCGCAGAACGACTGAGAATGGGCAGATATTCGAGTTCAAATTTGAATGGAATAATACCTAATTGTGAAAATTGTGGCCTCTAGTCATCGTCAAGCCAGCCCTCTTCACAAACTGTGATGCCCAAGCACTGCAGGCTGAGAAGCGTGTAAAAGAGGTGGTGCTTTTTTGTCGCTTTTTTTGAAAACTTGCATCCTAGTTTGCAGTTCGTAATTTTTTCCCCATGAAGTAAAGCAGCATTTTTGAATGCTGCTAGTGACAGGGACTTGCAATCTTTCGAAACAAGAAAAGCCAGGTGTGGATCTTGATATAATGGCTTTCTGAGCAGATATGGAACACATAATCCAACACTTCCTTCTATTTTCTAGTGAATGCCTGTCAATGCTGATCAATCCTGTTGATTTATTGATTGATATGTGGGGTTTAACGTCCCAAAACCACCATATGATTATGAGAGATGCCGTGGTAGAGGGCTCCGGAAATTTCTACCATCTGGAGTTCTTGGACGTGCGCCCAAATCTGAGCACACGGGCCTACAGCTCTTTCGTCTCAATGGAAAATGTAGCTACTGCAGCAGGGATTTGATCCCGTGATTTCATTCCGCTGCTCACCTTGAGGGTCAGCAGCGGAATACCTTAGCCACTAGACCACCGCGGCGGGGCAAGATCAACCCTGTTAATGCAGAAAAAAGCATTAAGGCAGTGACATTGTGTCCTACAAGGATCATTCTTGTGGTGAAAAGGTACAGAGCATCGCCTGATGCTTAGCCACAGCAGCTTCCTTCAGTTTTTAAATCGATGCAAGTGTATTTGAAGGCTACCCACTTGTGTAGTGTCATTGCTTGAGGGAGAACTCCATCACATTACCAGCTTGGACAGGCATATTGGCCCTATTGTTAAGGTAATAAATGCTGCAACACTTCTCTATACCCGGAATATATAGTGGAAAAAAATAATCTACCATGCACCTGCCTTCTTACGTGGTGGCAGCTAGCATGTATTTGGTTCCCAATAAAGTATGCTAAGCTTTTGACCTAACTGTCATGAATAGCAAACTGTAAATACATTGATACTGATATTATGTTGGATTTCTATTCCATTTCTTTTTCTTTTTGCTGTTTGCCAGTGTCTCAAGCAGGATTCTGCCTACACTGTCACCAGAATCAGCTGTCCATTAATTGTGAATTATGGGAATGAAATGAAATCAAACTAAATAAAATTCTTATGTCAGCTTTAATAGTTTATATAGTTTTCATTGAGATGAAAATGGAGCCATTGAGGCTCCATTTTCCGAGTGTTGCCTAGTTTCCACTCTGGAATTGGAATGATTCTGGAATCATTCCACATTTTTGCAACCCCGGAAGGGAATGGAATTAGATGCATTTTGCATGGAATTGAATGGGAATGAAATTAGGTATTTTATATTTTTCTGGAAATACGACACGTTTTTTCGACTTGTTGTTTTTCAAAATTAAGAAATTAGTAAGTACTTATCTCAAATTTAACAATAAAGCAGTATTTTTACAATGGCTTGGCTTATTACAAGCACAGCACATTTTTAAGCAACTACTACAATTCAGTCCTCACACATACTATGTCACAGCGAAGTTTGTCTCTAGTCTTCCCACAGCCGCGATTTCATGTTGTTAGTATTCGTCGTGTGAAGGTACAGAGGCGGCATATCCTCCACATCTTGTGATATTTTTTTCTTCGCGGCATCCAAGCTGCCTGCTGTCTGTCCACTCTTCATTTCTTTGTTCTTGTTTCTGTCGCTGTTGCCGATTAGGACGCTTATTCAAAAAAGCCCATCTCTAAGTTGTGATGTGGTACGTATTAACGCGGATGTGATGCTTGTCTTCACTGCGAGCTTTTATATACCAGCTTGCATGCTTTCAGTGCTGTCACTCCTTGTCTAGACAAACTGGCGCTTTTGCCCGAAACTGCAAGAGATCTGGAACCAAGCTATTATCCCTTAAGCTTGGTAACATGTTTTTTCCATGTATAAATTGGCATATACGATACTATAGTCCAAACAAAACGGTGCGTGGGCCTGCATTGATATCTATAGAGACAGGTTGCCAAAGTATCCCACTGAAGCATTCAATCACGTTACAAGTTTCCCCTCAGGCATATTTTGTGAAAGTATATCATCTAAACAGAGCTCAGCATGTACAGCCTTTTCTTTGTTCGGGACATTTTTGTAAAAACCTCCTCTGTACCTGTATTGTCCTGTTACCCAGAGCTAAACTCGGTCGCGTTACACCAATTTTTCACACTTTGGGTTCTGCCTTTGTTTCATATGAAGCTTAGCCATATCTTGTTATAATTTGTAAGATAGCAATCTATGACACTGAATAGGTAAAAAAAAAAATGCTTTTAAAATAATAGCACGGCATGCCAGTGCCGTGTAAACATGGTATCACGTTGTGTGCCCCCACGTGGCAACTTGTGTGATTTGAATAAATGTTCTCAATTACTATTGCTTAAAGGTACTCTAAAGTCAACTATTGAGCCGACGTTGGTTGTTGAAATAGCGGTCCAGAAACCTCGTAGTGTTACTTTTGTGCCAAGAAAGGGCCTATCTTGAAATAAAATTACGTTTTAGTGCTCCGCATTGGGTCAGCGCACTTCAAATTACCCGCCTCAAGAAACGAATCGACCGTAACGTCTCACATCACCATTGTCGTGCACAATGTTGCCCGGCTTTACTGTGCTTGTAGCAGCCGACCGAAAGCAGTGGGAGCCACAGCAGCAGCAATGGCCATTGATCAATTTCCCGCCATTGGTTTCGAGATTGCAGACGCTTTTGTTTCAACTGCGCCCCGCCAGATAGCACCACCTGTCTGGTGTAACCACACGAAAATTGAATTTTTTAAACACTTGCGCTATTCCCCATAGTAACGTCTGGCGGTTCTTTTTTTTTCATGAATCAAACAGAAATGAACAAGCAGCATTTTATTGCTTCTCTTATTGCATATAACGTTTTTTATTTAGTGCAGTTAGATAGTGTGCTAGTGATTAATTGTAGGCGGTCTTTCTGATGTAATCGGGATCACCTTGAAAATGTCCTACAGCGGTGCTTGTGTTCTTGTGCATTAACTTTAATCTCTTGTTTATAATATTGTCGTTTTAGATGTCATATATTGTGCTTTCACTCTGACGTAAATTGTTATTTGACTTTAGTGTCCCTTTAATCATATTAAGCTTTAGTATACTTTACCACAAACTAATTGAAATCTGTCTAATAAACTCGTGCACAAACGTAAGTTTATTTTACTGATTAAAATGTAGGTTTTGCTTGCACAAAATTTCAGTTTTGGTTTCAGGGAGGTTTACCAGTAGTTGTAAAAACGGGGAGAACTCACAAACAGAACAAGATAAAGATGTCATTCTTGTTGCAACATAATTCGGAATGTCTGTAGACTCTTAAAACATTAAAAACTAAAGTTTGATTACAAAAAAAAACCGTGATTTTCAAGGGTGGCAGCATGCCTTATTGTATCAATCACATCCCCTTTATGTTCATTCTTGACTAAATAAAACCACCAAGATGCATTTTCCTGCATTGAAGAATTACTGGAATGGAATTGAGATGTCCGTTCATGTCTGAAGTGGGAATAGGCTAAGTTTTTTCATTCCAAAGAATGAAAAGGAATGAAAAGAGTGGAGTTGAAAGGAATGAAATTAGGCCAAGTTCTAATTCCCTGGAATGGAATTGGAATAGAATAGAGGTGCCTATTCTGCACCACTGAATGAGGCAGATCTAGTTGCGCCTTGGTTGCTGATGTTGCTGCTATCACCTAATAACCCTATGGTACTCAAAGACCTTTTTATATGCCTGTATAATGAATATCATAATTATCTGCATTTTAGGACTTTATAGCATTACCGGTTTTTATTATGTGATATGTGTGGCTGCAACTGGCTCGTAGCAAATATTGCACAACAATACATGACATGCATCTTTGTTTGGTTGTGTCACATAATTAGATATTACTTGTGTCAGCCACTTTATTTAAGTGTTTGAAATGTTTGAATCTGTGATATGAGTGCTCATTTCTCGATGCTTTGCAATTGTAGTATAAGTTCATTGGCCACAAACAGTAAGGGGAAAAACAAATTTAGATTGAGGGATTACATTCCTGATTAACCTTTTTTCTACCAGAAATGAGCTAAGCTTGTCGACTCGGTTTGTGTCACTCCTGCTAAAGACAAGTTGGGCTCGTCCACTCTGAAAGAAGTGTTGCGGAGTACCACAGTTAGGCCACAGTTGCAGAGTTCTCTTTGACTTGGAACCAATGGGGCAGTAAAAAGGTATAAAAAGAGGAATTAAGCGTACTTTATAGTGGCGAAGGGACTTGATTTTAGTAACAGGAGGAATAAAATGGTGTCCTCCTCTGTGCATGAGCGGCATACATGTGCCTGCTACAGCTTTATTTAGAAAGAACAGAAAGAAAAGGTTTGTTTGCCAAAGTTTTGTGGAATGAACAGAAATTCAGTTCTCGTGTGGGTGTGAGCTGCTCAGAGCATAATATTTTCTTTAAATTATCGGATGCGAGCAGTGATTGCATTTTGATGTATTGGAACTGGATGTCGATAGAGCTAAACAAACCCCCACCTCCACATTCAAGGTTTGTTCTCACAGTATGTTTTTTTCTGTGCTTTGTATTTTTAGGTTTAAGAGAGACATTCGCTGCACCAAAGATCGGAAGGGATAGGATAGTGCTTTCTGTGGCAGTGCAATTCAGTGAAGCCAATCTTGCATATTTAAAAAATTATGTTGCTTTTATCTTGTGAATAAAGCGCCTTGAAATAGTTTTTTTTTTTTTCGTTGTTTCAAGACATGTGAAATCAAATGACCAAATAAAATTAAATCACTATTTTTGTATCATTCTTGGCGAAAAAGCTCTAGGAAAAGGTTTAACACATTCTTTACATCACCATGAAAAATTTGTCTGTTACTTTCTTATTCGCTGCCAAATGTAGAATGTTATGTGTTTTGAAGTGGAAAAACAGTTGGAAATGTGCACGTGACATCATAGCAGCATGCAGTGTGCATGACCTGCAGTGGACATGGAGCCACTCATTACTCCAGGTCTGCATTCATTCTCCAAATCGGTTCCATTATAATAACCAGAATTATGATGGTGCCCCCCCCCCCCCTTACACTTTTGGTGCTCATCAGAAAAAAAAGAAGAGAAAAAAAAAGGAGAAACTCACTTGCACAAACTGCAAAATTTACTTCCAGTAATATGTAAATTTCAGCTTGCATGTCTCAGATATATTAGACAGGCAGAGTACTGTTTCTTTTGCTGGTATTTATTCTCAGACAAACAAAACCTTATTTAGAAACTTATGCACCCATGCTTGCAGAGTTGTGATTGTGACTCACAGGTTGGTGTGGTTTCCCGTGGTGTGTGCAGGGGAGAGGTCTCATTGAGGGAAGGCCATGGAAGAGGAGGCCAGCTCGGATTCGCTGGCCACAAGTGAGGAGTATGAGCTGGTCTGCCCTGAAGCACCTCAACTGAGTATAGCCGGCAATGGCAGCCAGGATCAGCTGCAGAGTCACTTGGGAGAGCTGCTAGCTGAGGGGTCATTGCTGCACAAGGTGAGTGGGGAGCACTCTGTTCTTTACAAGCTGTACATTAAAATGCTTATAAAGTTACAAAAGGTCAGGAGTACATGTCTTATTTGTCACAAGTTGATTACTGAAGCAGTGTAGCCAAAGTATAAAGAATGTAAACAACACATGATGTCTATGGCAAACTGTGAGAACAAAGTACTATTCTTTTGTTTGTTTTCACTTTCGTCTCCATTTCTTATTTCAGAGAACTCAAGTTGTTGAGTACTAAGTCGTGTGTGATGGAGAAAAGGCTGGGCATCCATGCACGTGCACATAAAGTTTACTCTTGTTAAGATGAACAAGCCCATTAAAATTGTCCTATCGAAAATTCATCTTAGCAGTAGTTATGCCGACAACCCAAATTTGCTTCTCCTGTTTGGTCCAAACATATTGTTACGAGGCAGAGGGCATGGCTCTACCGTCATAACCGAATCGATGAAGAAGAAGCAGGCAGCCCTGGGGTGTCACACCTACCTGTGAATATTGGAAATACACTCGTTTCTCTCTTCCATGTGCTTGTAATCCCCGTAACAAATTGGTAGACGTGCGGGGTAACGAAGCAACATACAACGGAGCTCCACTGGGGTCATCAAATCGGAGTTTCTGTGATGGAACATGGGACTGATCCCACGGCCACCTCTCCATCGGCCTCGGCAATGCCTGCACCATTCACGGCAATGCCTCACCCTCACCCACGTACGTGCTGACGCATCTGAAGCATCCAGGAACGTTCTGCGATACGGACAAAGTTGATGTTGACGACTGAATAGCCAACTATGAACGTACCAGTGCGCTCAACCGGTATGATCCGACTCTTATGCTGGCCAACGTGCTGTTTTACCTGAAAGGCATGGCCAAAGTCTGGTACGAGAATCATGAGGAGGAGATGCTTCGCGACTTATTTGGGAAGCCCATCGAAAGACGGCTGCAAAGAAGATATTTATACGTGCTCAGATGTCCACAGAGCCGTATATCTCGTATATACAGGACGTGCTGGCTCTATGTTGTAAAGTCGACGACATGTCGGAGTCTGATAAGGTTGGCCACGTCCTCAAGGCGATAGCGGATGACTCGTTCAACCTGCTAATGTTCCAGAACTGTGCGACCGTCGACGAAATTATTGAGGAATGCCGGTGTTTTAAACTGGCCAAAAGCAGGCGTATTTCAAGATCATTCACTCGACTGCCGAACACCGCTGCGACGTCCTACTGCGAAGATGGACTGACCTCTCGTCGGCAGTCTTCACCGGCATCTGAAATTAAGCGAATCGTTCGGCGGGAAATCGAAGCAATTACACCTGCTCTTACCACCAACGGCCACATTGATTCGCAAGTACATCAAGTTTGCTTGGTACAGTCGATTGTGTGGGAAGAATTCAGCAATTTGGACTTCAATGTCTGCGCCGTTGCTCAGTCTCGACCAATTGGCTTCCTTTCAAGGTCGCCGCCTCTCCCCAGGTCACCGCCCCAGGAACGGTCTTATCCACGCCCTTGTAATCCGGCCGAATGGCGAACTGCGGATGATCGGCCGATCTGCTTTAACTGCGGCCGCGTAGGTCTTGTAGCACGGTATTGCCACAATCGTTGGACTTCGTTCTGAACCCAGTATAGCACTGCTCGCCGTGGCGACAGCTACGGTCTTTTCCAGCCCCCTGCGCCGACCCCCCACAACTACCGCCGCCTTCCTCCCTTTGATTCCTATGCCTTCTATGTCACTTACACGCAACACAGCCGCTCACTGTCGCCTCGACGTCACCAGTCTCGTTTGCCACCTGGACGTCGCCCCTCGTCCCCTTCTCCTCTACGACGACGGCCGACCTCCCCGCTCAATTCTCAGCAGGGAAACTAAGCGGTGCAGCTTTTAGAGGTGAAGCTGCATCCTCGATACTGACATCAAATTCTCTCCTTGTACTGACGAATACTATGATGAAATTTGATCGACGTCAGCGTTAACGGCTTGACTGTTTATGCACTTATTGACACCGGGGCGCATATTTCTGAGATGAGTGCTCGACTTCGTCGCCGCCTGAAGAAAGTGCTCACACCGGCTGCTCCTGGCATTATTCGTGTCGCCAACGGGAGAAGTCTTGCCATCACAGGAATGTTCACAGCACGCATCACAATCGCCGATCACCCCACATCTGTTCTCTTTGCAGTTATTGAGCAGTCCCCTAATGACCTGATTCTTAGATTGGATTTCTTGTCCACTCATGCCGCTCTCATCGACTGTGCAACCGGCGTTCTCTAACTTGAACTGCCTCGACTTTGGGCTGTGCCGTCCTCACCGTCACACCGTTTGTGAGCTGTTAATTATGTTCGGCTGTCACCGCAAGCCACCACTTGTGTGGCCTTAACGATATCACCAGCCCTTCCTGAAGGTGACTACATAGGGTCTCTATTAGTGGATGTGTTCTGGGCCCGAAGTGTTGCTGTGCCGCATACCATCGTGACTATCGTGGACAACTGCGTTCAGCTTCCGCTCCTCAACTTTAGTAGTTCGACCCAAGTTCTCCCGCAAGGCATTTCGTTAGCCTACGTTTCCCCACTTGATGCATGTAACATCGCGGCATTAGACCCTGAAGACTGCTCATCCCCTATTGCAGCCGGCCGAGCAAACGCACGTACCGACGAAATCGCGATGATGGTTGCCCCTTATCTTCTGCCCTGTCAGGCTGCGCAACTCCACCACGTTCTGACCTCCTACCGAGATATTTTTGAAATCGATGACCGCCCTCCAGGTCAAACATCCTTCGTGCATCATCAAATACATACCGACAATGCTAGTCCTGTTAAGCGGTGACCATATCGTGTTTACCAGTCTGAATGCAAGGCCATACAACGAGAAGTCGAGAAGATGCTCTCCAATGGAGTCATAGAGGCTTCTTCAAGTCCGCGGGCGTCACCTGTTGTTTTAGTCAGAAAGAAGGATGGCAGTTGGAGATTTTGTGTTGACTACCGTGCCTTGAACAAGATAACCTGCAAAGACGTATATCCGCTGCCACGAATCGACGACGCCCTTGACTGCCTTCATGGCGCGCGATACTTTTCATCTATAGATCTGCGTTCGGGCTATTGGCAAATTTCTGTCGATGACTTAGATCAAGAAAAATCTGCATTCGTCACACCAGATGGCCTTTATCAGTTCAAGGTTATGTCTTTTGGGCTGTGAAACACCCCGGCAACGTTCGAACGCATGATGGACTCTCTCCTCCGTGGTTATAAATGGTCCATCTGCCTTTCCTACCTCGACGATGTGATAGTTTTTTCCCCAACATTTGAAAGCCACCTAACTCCTTTGTCAACCATTCTAGCCCTTTTCCATCGAGCGGAGCTCCAGGTGAACTCGAAAAAGTGCAATTTCGGCCGACTAGAAATCACGGTTCTTGGTCATCGCGTAAGTGCTGCTGGAGTCCAACCGGACCCTGACAAGATTAGCGCTGTGAAGAACTTTCCTCTGCTTTCTTCGACCAAAGATGTTCGTTGTTTTGTGGGCTTATGCTTGTACTTCCGTCATTTTATGCGCAATTTCGCTACAATTGCACGACCACTAACTGATCTTCTCAAAAAGAACGCGCCATTCTCGTGGGGCCAAGACCAAGCAGCTGCGTTTGCCACGCTGATCGACTTGCTCACTTCACCACCAATACTGGCTCACTTCGACCCGTCCGCGACGACTGAAGTTCGCACCAACGCCAGTGCTCACGGCATCGGCGCCGTCCTCGCTCAACACCAGGCAGGTCAAACGCGTGTTATTGCGTATGCCAGCCGCCTTCTCTCCACATCTGAGCGAAACTATTCGATAACGGAGCGCGAGTGTCTTGCGCTGGTCTGGGCTGTAGCGAAATTTCGCCCCTACTTGTATGGCCGGGAGTTTTCAGTTATTACGGACCACCACGCTCTGTGTTGGTTGTCGTCGCTCAAGGACCCAACTGGTCGCCTAGGTCGCTGGGCTCTACGTCTTCAGGAGTATAACTTCGACGTAATTTATAAGTCTGGCAGGTTGCACCAAGATGCCGATTGTCTCTCGCGCTATCCGGTGGACCCTGCTAGCCTCGCTGTCCATGAGAGCGATTCTTGTGTGCTCGCCATATCTGATTTGTGCGACATCGGTACAGAGCAGCGCTGGGACACAACCCTCAAGATGGTCATTGAGTGAATATCTTCAGGACATTCTAACCCTTCGCTCTGTGAATATGTCCTCCGCAACGAAATTCTGTATCGCCACAACATGAAGCCTGATAGCTTGGAATTTTTGCTAGTTATTCCCCGATACCTGCGTGCGACCATTCTTCAACATCTGCATGATGTTCTGACGACAGGACACCTGGGGTATTCACACACCTATCATCGCGTGTGGCAACGGTTCTTTTGGCCTGGCTTGTATAAATTTGTGCGCCGCTATGTCGCTGCTTGCGAGGACTGCCAGCGTCGCAAACGTTCTGCTCTCCATACAGCTGGCCTGCTTCAACCTATCGACGTTCCCCCGGAACCATTCTTCCGCGTCGGTCTCGGCTTGCTTGGTCCTTTCCCGACGTCTGTGTCAGGCAACAAATGGATCGCTGTCACAACTGACTATGCGACGAGATACGCTATAACTTGTGCCTTGCTAAGTAGCTGTGCTACAGACGTCGTAGACTTTTTACTGAATGACGTCATTCTGCAGCATGGGGCTCCGCGCCAGCTTCTGACAGATCGTGGTCGCTGCTTCCTCGCAAAAATTATCGACGAAATCCTCCGTAGCTGCTCTGCCGAACATCACCTTACTACTGCCTATCTTGCCCAGACCAACGATCTCATGGAGCGCCTCAAGCGAATTCTTACAGACATGTTGTTCATGTACGTCTCTGCTGACCACACTGACTGGGACCCAACGCTCCCCTATGTTACGTTTGCATACAGTTCATCAAGGCATGACACCGCCGGCTCTTCTCTGTTCTTTCTTCTGTACGGCCGCACCCTGCGTTGCCATTCGACACACTCCTTCCT